CGTGTGCTCTTCCGATCTCATATATTGTCGGTCTTGAAACACAGTTCTTACATGAAGCCAGAAGCCAGAATGTAACGAATTAAATTACATGTCAAACAATTTAATATGTTTGATGCTAATAAGCATCTATAAGAATTTCCTCCCCTCAAATCTATAAAGAATTTATTGCGAAAAATATGTATTCTATTTTCACCAACTTATTTTCAACCATCGATTGGCTTACACATACACGCGCAATTATATTTAACAACAAATTGCTGATTCTGCTACTTTTGTTTCACTTCCTTTGTTCATCTCATCTCTTCTTGATCTCGAGCAGAACACCGTAAAAAAGTTCAAACATGTAAGAAGCGAGCCCAGCAAATACTAAATTACATGTAACGTATTTGTTAGTTGTAATATAACACATGTTATATTATAGTTATATTGTTGAGTGGGAAATTAACTTGGTATTTGCTGGAGGGAAACTTACGTCAATCAATCACCCCGTACGTGAAAGGTGAGGGGACTTTTGAAATACAAGGTGAAGCAAAAGTATGGATACCCATGAATATCTCGGAAAATATAAGTTTTACAACAAAAATGTTTCACACTAAAGTTGTAGTGCTTAAAAAAATCTATTTATTGATTTTATCAGTTTGACCTTGTGTGGCGTCGCCAAGATCAGATAAAGGTCATCTTAATTTTTTTAAATGGAACGCTATACTTTTGATTCCAGAATCTAATAGCTGATCTTAAGAACTTTCCAAAACATATAGATAACATATTTTTTTATTAAGTAAATCTTGAGTTATGAAGCTTAAAGGTTGCAGTACCGTCGGCATTAGCATTATCCAATGTGTCCGAACACTGGCTAAAACCTTTTAAATGTTGTTCAGGATCATGACCTTGACAACACATTTCAAGATCAAAACTATTAAAGCCCATTAACAGTTGTTGGTTTATTTTTATTTTTAAAAATACTTTTATTTTTTGGAAAAAAGAAAAACAATCTTCAATGGTTATATTTGATATTAATATAGAGAAGATGATAATCAAACCTTAGAACTACATATCTCCATAATTGACAGCTAAGACAGTTTCATGATTAGAAAGATTTAGTAAAGCTAAGACAGCTGCAATTGTGGTGATATGTAGTTCCAAGGTTTGATTATCATTTTTTCTGTATCAATACAAGCCGTTTACTAAAGCTTTCTAATCATGAAGCTTTCTCTGAGAAACTAAAAAGAAGGGAGAAAGAGAGAGTGAGTGAGAAAGCGAAGAGAGAAAATTTTAATAAAAAATCGCACGATTTTATGCGACATTATTGAATATATTCTCCTACTCTTATCGAGATTTATCGAGATTTATCAAAGTAATTTATCAATCTTATTCAAGTTCAAAAGATCGATTGATATCTTCCAAAACATACTACAGTTTTCTTTAAGCAGATGGACGAAAAAGATTCAAAGTAATAAATTGTTAAGTTTTATTAATTATTGTAGTAAGTCGAGTCGCCTCCTCCGAGGCGTTGATAATTCAATATTCGCCAAACGAACAGTTTCACCAATTATAGCACGTGACAGCAAAATTTCTGTGCTGCAGACTTGGCAACTATTTGCTAACTCGCAAATATCTTTTATATTAAACAACAACGGCGATTGGGAGTTGCTCGTCAGGATGTTTGAGACTATTCTGCTTTATAAT